GGGTCACATCTCGCTGGTCACGGCCCACAGTGGCGCCACGCTAGAACATTTCGAACGATTTGAATCTTCCAAAACTATGGAGCCTTTCCGTGAAAGCCCCAGAAGGGGGTGGGGCCAGCGCCTGGCTTCTCGCCCCATCGGACAGACCCTCTCAGCCAATCCCTTACTCTTACTCTCCGCCCAGGCCGAGTGACGAATGAAATCACAGTCAGAGTCCAGACGCGAGAGGCCAGAAGCTAGAAGCCGAATTGATGCCAGACGACTTGCCTAGTCCACTTTTCAGACTGGTGCTACCCCAGCCCCGGCCACTGCGGAAAGCGGCGAGTGATCAAGCGAAGTCTGTTAAGAAGCCGTCATGCGACCAAAGGGTTACGCAAGAGAATGGGAAAAACGAGTAATCATCAGTCAGAGGGAAACTGGTGGAGGGAGGAGGAGAATTGGTCGAAAGCGGGACCGGACGGTGAAGAACGAGAACAACCCGTGTTGCTTCTTGGGTTCTTCGTCAATGTTGCCGTCTTCTGCGCCGTGTGCCAGCCTCCCCCCCCCCAACCTTACCGATCGATTGTTTGGGGGCGCTGAAGGGGAGGGGGGGGCAGAGTTGGAGGGCTGGGCTCTGTCTGGGGTCTGGAGATCGACAGTGCTAAGGTACTCCGGCTGCATTGCACTATTTCGGACGAGATGCTTCCTGCCCGTCGACGTAATCTCGTGGCAGATGAGAAGGCGAGTGTGCCTCCTTTGGAGGGGAGAGAAGGAGGAGGGGGGCATCGAACATGAAGACGAGGCGGGACTTGCCGCCCGGTCTGCCCAGTCTGGCGCCGTGGCATCATCCCATGTTCACACACAATGTCTGTCATGTTGCTCATTTCTCGACCTGCCTTGTCTCTCTGCCCAGACACACATATATGATGACCGGTTGAATATCTCTGACCAAGATGCCGATCTGTCCATCGATCTACGTCGCAGTTAGCCCAGAACGCTTGTTGCTACCACACCACCGCGAGAAGGGCACGCTCCACCATCAGTGCTGGCTCGAATAGAGGCACCTGTCGATCGATCACTCGTCGCGGCTGCGGCTGGAACACGGCTTAGAGACGGCCTATTGCTGACTGCGACGATGGTCAACCAGCTATCCCGTTCGCGTTGTCGTCATGCCCACAGTGGCTCGTCAACGGCATGACATGTTCAGACTGAAATGTTCTTGTTGTGTGTAACGGTATAGTGGAGAGCTGGGTGATTCTTGTTTTACATTCTCTTTCCTTCTTCTCTTCCTCGAGTCAAAAGGTGCAGCTGGGCTGACGGACATGACTCCCAAAAGCCCAGCTGGATCATCTACGGGGACACGGTTGACATGGTGGATGGTATGTGTCGGGGCACCGGCGACCAAAACAAGACAGGCGAGAAAGAGAGTGCCCACAGCCCACTCCTGCCACTTACAGCCAGCCACCGGCATGCCCCCCTTGGCCGATCCAACGAGCCCTTCATTTGCACCCGAAGACTAAACCCGAGCGCCCCACCACTTCGCTAAGGTGGCGAGTTTCTGGAATGCTGCCCCTTTCGGTTCGGCGCCTTGTGAACCAACCACTCTCCGTGTTTCTTGGATGGAGTCTTGTCTATTCCTCCACTCCTCCTCGCCTGGGTCTCGAGAACCAGTCCTCTGGCCCCTTTCCCCCCTCTGGCTTTTTTTTCCTTTGTGTTGAGATGTGACCCCCCCTGCCCTTTGCCATCTACAGAGCGGCGTGGCGCTAACGGCTCCTCCGAACGCCTGTTCATCGAATCGGGGGATTTCTGACGACAGTTGCGGTTTGGAGGGGCGCCGTGGGCTTCTCGAAGGAATCGCCTGTCTGCTCTACGGCCACTAATTGAATGACCGACCGCCTTTCGGCCGTGTGATCCGATCCCCTGGTTGTAAGTAACCTACGCCAAATGTTCTCTTGGATTTTTCCATGTGAACTAAAATAATCGTGACTCCCTTCCGCTTCGTAAGGGAGTTCCGGCCCGGCCAGTGCCCAAATGGGCGCTATTGCCGTGTGCCGTGCCCTTGTCCGTCCGTCAGTTGGATGGCAACGACCCGCATTCGACCTTCCATCACCCATCATCTCCATCTACATCCGCTGCTGGCCGTCGAGAGCAGACAAGGCGTCGCGAGCTCTCGTCACGTCGGTTGGGGTTTTTCGACAAGTCTGCTCATGCAAGCATCCCGCTCCTACGGGAACCACAGTTCTAGGCTTGATGTCCTTGCGGCCTTCCTTTGTGCCGCACTGACACAGCCACCCTGCAAGTTGGAGCATATGCCAAGCTATCTGCCAAGTCCCCTCCCCCTCTTTTCTCAGGCACGATCCGTAGAGCCTCATCGACATGGCTGTCGTCGTTTTGTGACCACAGAGTGACAAGCACCGAAAACATAACACGTCACTGTACTTCGCACGATTGTGGCCGAAGAAAACCGTTCCAAACTTGAAAGATTCGTCACTTGGAGGAGTGGCTGGCCATCCGTGGCTGCTTACGACTCCTGGTATCACTGACTTCAAACGCCTGCCAAATCCGGCCCAAATCTCAGCGCTACCATGACATTTGACTGTGTGACACCCGTATCCAAGTCCATGCACAACTCAAAGAGCCTTACGCAAGGTACCAGATGTCACGATGCTGGAAAGAAACCTTCCCCGCCTCCCCAAGTCCTCCCTTTCCGCCGCACCATTGAACCCTCGTCATGTCACAGACCAGCAAGATCGAAATCCTTGCTGAAACCTCCATTCAGTAGCATTGCAGCTATTCGAAGTCGCTGCAGGGGCATCTCATCTGATGCATAGGTGTCAATAGCGTTCAAACCTAGAGCAATGCACATGCCGTTTGTGATTGTGTGCACGCCGCAGTCGTATCCGTTCGTCTGTCGAGGGGCGTCGTGTCGTACCACCCTCCACTCAGCTTCGATGAAGTTCTCTTCGAGAACAGCCTTGACCCAAGCCTGGGCCAGTTTAAGTTTACTAGCGGATCCAGCAACGCTCAGTGAGTCCATGTGAGCAATGGTCCGCATCTTGGGCCGGACCACAATGAGTGTCCAGTGAGAGTTCTCGCACACTGGTAGCAGAACCGTGTCGAGGTCGCCAAAGTTCGCCTTGGATACACCAAAGCGGCGAAGCGCTCGGCCGGTACTCCCGGGTCCAGCATCCTGTATCCTCTTCCAGATGAACGACGACAGTGCAAGGCACTTCCTGTTCGCTGATCGAGTGTCACTGACACCGGCTGCAAGGTTGATGAAGCGATCTAGCCATAGCAATGTGCCGTTCACAATCTCATCGTTGAGCCATTCTGTCGGAGGAACAACCCTGGCAAAGTCGCGGGGGGTGAGTTCGGTCCCCTCAAATGTGCGCGCAACGCTGGCACCCTGACGAGTGACGGAGGCTTCGACTTTTCGCAACCAGTCATCTGACAGCGGAGCAACCATGGGCTTGTGAGGTGGACGCAAGCCCCCCGTCTTGAGCAGTTTCTCAGCATCAGCACGCTTTTTCTCGGCCTCCGCCGCGCTTTGGCTGCAGCTGCTGCGAGAAATTCCCGTTCTTCCTCTTCGACCTGCCTGCGAAGTGCGACTTCATCTAAAGCCGATTGCCTCTCGTCGCTTATTTGCAGGCCCGAGAGCTGTTTATCAAGGTCCGACCCGAAGAATGGCGAACTGGGTCTGTAGTATTTTCGCAGCCCCTCTTGCATGTGACCGTTTATGCTGGCCCCGTGGCGAGTGAGCACGTCATGCTCGCGGTCTTCTTGCTTCTCGTCGGCGCTATCGCTTTCTCCTTGCCCCTCCAGCTCATTTATGCTATGACGGAGATAACTGGCTGTATTTCGATGCCCGTCGGCGATGTCTTGATAAGAAAGCGGCCTGAATGAAGTGCAATGTATGGCCTCCGTGTTGCTCAGAGTGTCGTCATACGCCTCCCTATTAACAAATTTCGTGTTGGAACCTTCTGCGATCTGGGTTGTCTGGTCAACGTCTGACATGTCTTCGGCCTCTTTCCCACCGGCTGAAACGAAGTAATGACCCGTGTTCTGTAGTGACAGCGAGGCCGGGGTGAAGAGGCTTGCCGTGCTCGGGGCTGTCGCTCGCCTCAAATTTGGCGACTTCAGGCGCGTGACGTACGAGGGTGGTGATCTAGAAGTAGACCACTTTGAGACCGGCGATAGGATAGCCGATCCGACAGAAGAGCGGGGGTGGTAGGGAGAATAGTCAGGGTCACGATCGTGAGGTCTGCGTCGAGATAATTGCGCCGCATCTGGCGAAGACGTTGACCTCAGCTTCTCCTTCAGAATGGATCGCATGGACCGGTGGTTATACACGTTAGAGGAGCCCTTCTCGCTGGATGTATCAGCGCTTTGCGGATCTACAAGATGCGCTTGAGTCAAGTTAAAGGGAATACCGTCGTGGAGGGTAGGTAAGGAGTCTCTTGAGGCAAGCGGCATTTCAAATTGCGCAGGACGGCTTGCAGCGAACTCGCTTTGACGCAAATTTGGCTGTGCGTCAGCTATACGACTGGTGTCCTCTTCCGGGAAGCTGCCTGGGATCGCCAAAATAGCTGGCGGAACTGTCATACTTGGCGCATCGGGCATGACGACATCCTCGTCAGCAGGAACGCGTGCCAAACGCTCCCACAAGGAGAGTGTTTCCGTCGATGCATTGACAACCAGACTCGGAATGGGTCGTTTCGCAAGAAGAGCGTAGAGATCATTGCAGACTGTCTTTAGCAAATGATCATCCACGTGGCAGGAATCCAGGATAGGGCCCAGTTCTGAAGGCAAATTCTCGAGCAGGCGCACTGCGTGGTCGAAAGAAACGTCTTCGGCATTTCTCTCGAGGCTGTATCGAACGCGGGCTTGCGGTGTCTTGTTATAGCGTTTCGCCTGTTCAAGCATGTCCCTGGAATAAAGGTGCTCAATGACGGCCGAGGCATGGGTGATTGGCATCACAAGTGTAACAAGATTCTCGAGTCTCAGATGCGCAAATTTGTCGCCACGGTAGCTGAAGCGCTGGGCACTCCGACGATCGAGGTCACCAGCATGCTGATCCTTGATGCACATCGTGGCCTGAGAGAGCCCCTGGAGAAGACATTTGATATGACGGTCCCAGAGACGGGCTCTGGCATCTTCATCGATCCAGGAAGGTTCATCATCCCCACGCTGGGAGAGTCGGCGTTTCTTCAAGGCAACATTGCCTGTTTGTTGGTCGGAAGTGCGTTGTTCGACAGCATTGGATTTGTTACTGACTGGGGTAACGCATCAGAATGAGCAAGGCCAAGATAGAAATAACAACAGGGATCACGTACCGGGCCCGAACAGACTGCTTACCACTGCTGACAACTTTTCAATGATCTGTGTCATGGTGTCACTGGTCCACGACATGGGGCCTGGGGCAGTGGCACGGAAGCGGCTCGTATGCTTTGGTACGGTTAGTCTGCGTCTGCTGTATGTGACAAGAGTTACCTGGCGGCAACATACGTCTTGAGGGCCTGTGTAAGGGCGAGCATAGCTTGCGGTGCGTAGGAGAGACGACTGTTCCCACGCCGCAGCAACACTATCTGGCTTTATTGATTCAGCCTTCCGCTTGCGTGTAGACGAAGGAATAGCATGCAATGTTCCAGTCTGTTGTGGTTCCCAAAAACGAGCGATATCCTCATCGACAAGGCAACTTTTGTGCTTCCCTGCTAGTGAAGCAAGTACTCTGTGTTGCTTGAGCCTGTCGTTGGTAATTAGGGAAGAGGTCGTGGGGTCGGTGGCTCGGGCGCGATGGGAGGTATGAGATCTCGGAACGTAGTTGTGAGTGGTGCCTTCCTTCCTGGCAAGTTCCGCCTTCCTTCTCTTGAGCGCCTTATAGCCGTCGTAACGGGTCGCGAGCATCCAGCTGTCTGTCTTCGCAATGATGCAACCGCGAAGAGGGTCGTCGGGACATGCGAATTCGGGTGGTTTGTACATAAGCAGTGGGTTGTTATAGTAAGGCTTCCATCTCTGTGAGAATATGGCGCTGGTCGGGTCGAGGAGCCTGGCGTGATTCGATTTGATGGGCCTCCAGTAAGTGCTGACGTCGCGCACGTTGACGAGGGGAAACCCGTGAGCGATCAACCTTTGTCGCTGGAGAAGTTCAGGTTCTGGTAAAGCCATTGCAGTCAGCTTACAGTGTTTGTTTCACTGGTCTAGTTCCACTGCTACACGTATGCTGAACCGGTGGTTGCTAGGATCCAGGTGAGGTGCGAGGTGGATGGCTTGCTTAGAGGTACGCATGTCATGGTGGGCGGGGGGGGGGGGGGGGACTCGATGTTGCAGGGGGACAGGATGAGTGGCATCGCAAGCAAGTGCAATAAGCCGACATGAGGATGAACTAGGTGCAGTGATAAGACAGTTGGGAGCGTCCACGTAGTGCAGTGATCTGAATTGTTGGGTGGGAGGACTAGATGCTATAGTGAAGGAAGTCGGGGACGTTACAATTCCACACGTCGGGTGGGATAGCAGCTAGAGGAGCCTTGGTCGTTGCGACAGTTGTCGCGTCGCGCCTCGTTGGTTTCTCTACAGCGCATCCGCGTGGTTTCTTCTCTAGAAAACGATGCTGGTATCAGGAAAGGTCAGGTAGTGGGTGGGTGGGAAAGTTGAACAAAGCGTGGCTTTACGCGCGACTGCGATGGTTGATGCACGACAGGGAAGTCGCGATGCAGCATGGAGATTTCGAGGTGGGTCCAAACTGCATTCACTCAACACCAAAAGTACTCCACTCAAGGAATATCTGATCACGTGTCACAAGCCATACCGATCCCTTCCTCAGCTTTCACATTGCAGGCACTGTAATCAATTCTGCACCTCAGGTGTGTATTCACCCTACCCGGGTGCTTAGATAGGTAGCTGCATCGAATAGCGTCACAACTATTGGATGCGCTGTATGCCTCTGGAATAGGACATCTCCTTTGAACGGCAATTCAATTTGTACAGTGTCTAATCAGCACATCTGCGGCTACGAAACGTCTACGGGCTTGCTGTGTCTACAGGCTTGCTGTGTCCACCGGCGAAATAGGACTAATCGTTACATGAGAACAGATCGTGTTCTTCAGAAGGTCACCGCTCTTGGCGGTGGGGCCTTCTCCTTTCAAAGTTGTGCAGACAGTCTCACCTGCTTTGCGCCAAAGGAAGCGAAGTACTCGTTCAACGCGTCAACAGTGCCAGAACCTTCTGCCAACCCCACAACAACACCCACGTAGCCGTCAGGTCGGACAACCACAACACCTCCCTTCTCTTCATCCAGACCCATCTTGGCATGCGCGGCTGCCTTTGCTTCCGGCACCCTCCGGTCCCAGAGGTCGTCGGCATACACGTGGTCGCGATATCGTGCCATCAGCTTGGGAACGTCGCGCGCAATCTCAATGCTACTTCTCGTCGCTGCGAAGATAGTGCATATGGTGAAGAAGCGGCTGTGGGGGTTGTGCGTCTCATGGTAAGACACCATGTCGATATCCGAGCGCTGGTTCGTTGCATAGAACGAATTCCTGGCTTGGAGTCCGTCCGCGAAGTCGCTCAGAGCGCGGCTGGTTTTTGATGGCTTGCCTGCGAAGACGAAGATTCTGAAAGAGCCGTTCATGGGCACCTCTTGTTCGAGATGGACGACGTTCGCGTCAACGACCCTCGTGACGTTGGCGTTGATCAAGAGGCGGCCTGTACGCAGCTTCGACCCGCTCGGGTTGATCAATGGCGACTGGGCGGGGTGCTCTGTCGACCAGTTGAGGGCATTTGACTTGTAGGCAACGCCGTATCCGCTGGTAAACTCGCAGGACTCCTTGAAGGCCCTGATGAAATCATTGTCACCGGCATCGGCTTGCCCATTTCGGGAAGCAGCCTGCGCCTCTGTCGCCGCATCAGGCCGTTGCGAGAATAGCTTGGCGTACTTGTTGTCAAAGTCGAGGAGAGCCTCCGCTACGTGCTTCCGTTCGGTTTCGTACGTTGCCAGCAGATTCCGGTGGGCGAAACCAGCTTCGACTAGATGAATTTTCCAGGCCAAGTTCTGGGCGTCCAGGAAAGCGGTGTTCATGCCCTGACCTGCTTTGGGCTATTCGGCACGTTAGCTAGCGTTCGATTCACAGTGGCTTTCAGTTTCCGAGACTTACACTGTGGGTGTGGCACGCATCGCCACCGAGGAAGACACGATGATCCAACGTGTAACGGTCGGCAATACCCTGACCGATTGGATACACCGAGTACCATTCGACACGATCCCACTCTACATGGTACGGTTGGAAAATGCGCTTCGCCGAAGCTTGGACATCTGCCTCCGTGGCCGTCTTTCGTGGGTTCCAGTCGGCATCGGTCGACGAGGCAATCTGAATGTACAGGCGCACCATGTTATCCTCACGAGGGATAACCATGATGGAGCCGTGCGGGCTGTGGATGGTGCACTTCATCTGTTGTAACGGTAAGCCGACATGAAACATGGACATTTTGTTTTCGTTGCCAGCCACGTACCTTGATATCGGGAAAGTCGGTCCGGACAACGCCGTCCATGACACCCCATACGTGCTCAATGGGATCCTTGTGCTTGATGCCGATGTTGAGCTGGCTCCTGATGAAAGATCTCGCACCCTCGCCGCCAAATAGATACTTGGCACGGACCGTCTCCTGGGCGCCTCCATCTTGGTGTTCCAGCTGCACCTCGACGGGGTACTCTGGGTCTTGCGCGACGTCTGAAGTGAAGCCTGAGATTGTCCACGGACGCTGAATGCTGACGTTGTTCTTGGCCAGGTCTGAGATGAATACCTGCTCAATGAGGCCCTGGTGGAGGAGAGTGGTGAAGGGATACCGCGCATCGATGAAGCTGGGGCAGCTCGCCCACGTGCCGGTCCTCGCGATGCCATCACCTTTGCTCACGGGGTCCCAGAATGCAACCTCAAAGACACGAGCGGGCTTATGGGCCATGATGTGAGTTTTGAGGCCCATGTTGCGAAGAAGATCCAGAGAGCGCGGCTGAATGCCATCAGCACGGCCGGTCTTGGTTGGTTCCGGCCGGTTGTCAATATGCTTGATCTTGTAGCCCCACCTGGCCAGACAGGTAGACAGCATAAGGCCAACAGGGCCAGCACCGACGATGACTGTACGACGAATGAGAACAAAATCATGATAAAAGAACCGTCGCCTCGTGGAGTGCCGGCGTAGACTATACAAACTGACCTATGTCATATTTAGGAACATCCTGGGAGGCGCCCGTCATGTTGAGATTGGCCTTGGAGTTGGGAAGGGAAAGACAACGCTTGTAGAGGGACTTTGGGCCAGAAAAGGGATGGTTGGGATATTCCGATCACTCGGAAACTGGTACCGATCGCGGAATGTGTGAGGGTTCAAGGACGCAGGACTGGAGTGCGAGGCAGCGAGTCTTATAACTCAGGTCAAAGGTGGCCGTGATCGATGCCGAAGTCACGGCCGTAAAATGGGAGATGTGGGGAGCTCCTAAGGTAGCATGGACGGGTAGAGGGAACGGTAATTGACCCCGCGATCCAGGGCTCTCGCTCTGCCCTGCGAAAGAAACCCATATTCCCGGGATCTGCTTGGTGGCAGGACTAGGAGGCGGGGCCCGAATCATTGCCAGCCAGAATGCCCGGCCTTGGAGACAGTGAGGAGTCGCAAGGCCAGGACGCACGGTTGCCCCACGCCGGGAAGTCGACTCGGTAGTGATGATTGTGGGTCGCCGGACTCTTGTTGTCGCTGTGTTATATAAGCGGCATGTCATTGGTGGCTTAGCGTTGGTCGTGGTAGTCGGGAAATCCGAACCGGTACGTACCTTCTTACTCACCTGGTAACCCTTGAGGAGACCGGTCCGACTCTGAGCTGCCGCTCGGAATTGCCATACCACTCTCGACGGGAGGAAGTCGACGACATGCTCCGATTCTCCTATTCTTCATAGTCCTGAAGTGCCAACAATAATCGGGTTATAGCCGGTCCGCTATGACTGCGGACTCAACGGCACAGTCCAGCCGAATTTGGCCGCGTATGGAAAAGAAACAGGACCACCATGGCCATTCCTAGGATGGTCCCTGTCGATGACGGAACCAGGTGCTTGGAATTGGCTTGGGCAATGCTGCGGTCTTGCGCAGACTTTGCAGCCGATCTCGGGAGACAAGCAACCAAAGACGGCGATGTTGTAGGGTATCTGGTGATGTTCGAGAAATTGAGTCCATCGAGGGAGCCGTCTTCGTCTTGTGCTGACTGAACTGATCCATGACTGCATTATCGCCGACATAAGACGGTTTCCATAATGGTACGGCAGGATGACTCCTCCTCGCCACAGCCGGACCTAAAGCTGGAGCCGGATGAATGTCTTCGTCCGGCTGGAGCACAGGACCTCAACTCAGGTATGTCACATCACATCACGCGGGTCAGCATATCTTGGAATACTCTTCTTTGCCTGTACCTGGCAAGGTATATTGGTTGCCTTTCCACCTACTGGAGTGAGCATTGGCAGGAGCGCGACGACGTGGAAGGGTCAATAATGCAGAACGCGCCACCGACCCGAATCGCAATCACCAACGGCGGACTCCCATTCACCTCTTCATTGACAATAGCAACACAGACCTTCTACTGACCAGTGACATCACTACCAGAGTCGCCATTGTCAAAAGCGTCACGTCTTCAACACTGGATAGACAGCCTGGATAGTGACCTTTTCAGGGATCCGGAAGAGGTCGGGCCTTTCCCCAGTTGGACTGCGCCGCAACTATACACGCCAACAGTCTCTGGCTTTTCTGGCACCTGCTCTACCCTAGTTTCCTCGCCTCGAAGCACAGCGCATCCCAGCTCCAGGATCCAGTGCCCGCCAGAAAGTTTCGCTTCAGTCGTCGCAAGGGACATAGCCACCATGCTTGACAGGACATTTGGCACGCACCAGAGGAAAGGCAGGAGCCTCGACAACCCCGTCAGCAGGGAGGGCGCTCGGAGTCCGATTCACGGGACTTTTGTATCGGTGTCGCCTAGCCGAGCGCGATCACTCTCGCCCCATAAACGACTACCTCGACAGTCTGTCCATATCAACATGGATCTGACGGAGTACCAGATGGACCGTTTGGCTGATGTGTGAGTTTATTAGTCTGGTCCCGTGCACACGCCAGATGTCGCTGATGGAGACTGAGTTTTCTGATAGGTTCTCTAGTCATAGCAACGTGAATTGCAAGAGTCCCATTGGTCTTCAGGGTGAACAAGACGCCAGCAAGAACGCATTGCATGAATCCAATAAGAACCCAGAACAATACGGTCTATCCAGCCAAGGCATGAGTTCTTTCCCAAATTCTATTCCTCATGTCCATCATCGCAACAGACCGAAACACCAAGGCAACGACGAGTTGCGTTCGTCCCCTTGCCAGAAGCGAGGGGGAGACAAGCGTTGCAGCACCTCGACCACGTTCTCCGACCTCATGCCTCCGTTTTCCGATAAGATCGGAAGACCATCGGGAACGATTGCCGAACGCCGGTGCCAGAACACGCCAAACCGCATAGCCGTCGACGAGGCCAGAAAGTATGGAACCTTCGTGCATCGTGCTCCGACGGTACCGGCCGCTTGTCACCCTCTCAAGGCTCATCCTGCGTTTGCACCTATAGATGATAGCTGGTCCTCGGTGTACTCACAAGAAGAGCACCGGGCAGATCCTCGTGTACGACCGTTGTCTGTTGAGAAGAGCGCCGTGTCGCATCACATTGACGACGTCCTGCAAACGTACCACGACTGGGATCCCATGGAGATTTCAAGTCCTGAACTACTTAGCCCAGAACCTCTGAAGACCCCGACGCGCAATCGTAGCCCGCATCCAGAACGACGATGCGCCGAGAGCTCCCGCCAAGCGCCTCAGCTTGCCACGCGGGCAGAACAGCCGAAGCAAGTGACAGGCGAGGTAGACTTATATTCCCCTCTTGTCACTTACTTTGCTTTTGAGGTTCTTCCTGTGCAAAAAATTGGCGGCAAAACACTCATCGGGGAACAGGGTTGGCTTAAGCGTCCCAACCCCAATCAAACCCCGGAACACAAGAAGAAGAATGGCTCACCGAAGAAGACGGGGCTTCTGGATAGCATCAAAAAAATGGCCAAGGGCATGGTATGTCATTCGCGGTAGACTACGCTTTACGACAGTTGGGGGAATACATGATCAAAGACTGACGAAATACAGACTGAGAGCAAGAACGTGCGGCGGCCTCGTGAGGTCGAGAAAGACGCCAACCCCCCGAAAGCCGACAAATTAGCTATATCACTGGATCCTCGCGAGCAGAGTCTTCTATACTGCGAACTAGAATTTCAAGTCAGCAATGCCATCCACGCATACATTACCAACGAGCTCGGCCACGGTCGCCTGGATACAGATAAGCTCAAGGTCATCGCCAATGGCTGGAAAGGCAAAGGCCGTCCCCGCGTCGTAGGCTATCGATATGACCTGGAGACACAACTAGAGCTCATCAACCTTCACCTGACCGATTTTCGCTTCTTCGGCCGTCGCCAGGGAAACCCGCTCGATATTGCTGGGCTTCTACACGCCATGAAGGTCAACGCGCGCGCTATTCGCATCCGTACCTTCTGTCAGCCCGACTCGGTCATTGCCAAGCAGCTGGTCGACTCGCAATCTCTCTTCAACACGATTGGCTGTTCTGAAGTACAGCAGATTGCGCTTGCTGAAATCGCTCAGTTCTTCAAGGTCATTGTCGAGCGCGAGCGGTCGTACCGCAATCAGCTGACAAGACCCGACGTCACCAAGCAACAGGGAATGTTCCATGAGTACCGGAAACAACACCACTGGGACTCTTCGGGCAATGAAGGAGTCAATGGCATAGATCAGGCTGGGGCCATGAATGGTAAAGACGCCAATCGAGACGACGGCGGTGGTTCGCCCCTCGAGTTTCGAGGCTCGCACTAGTTGCCAATTGGCTGTTTCATCGGCTGCCTACGATGGCAAGTTGGAGCCCATCACTGGATTTTCCTGACAGGTTCCAAGGAAGGGGTTTGGGAAGTAGTATTTGTGTACCACCAGGATATGTTCGGACACTGTAAAGTCTTGTCTTGACAAAGCAAAACCTCACAGTTTCAAGCAGGGTAGAACATGGACGGCTCGATGTAGATCATTGTCAAACGCTGGCGTCCTGGTGTATTCGTTTCGTCTTGTATTAGCCAAAGCCTGAACCCCCAAGCCCATATAAAAAACATACAAAGCAAAAGGCGGTCGTCAAGTCCCATGGGATGATGCTAGCGTTGCATCCTGCTAGCCCAAACCCCAATCGCCAAGCCTCATAGTAGGAGATATCACACCCTGTGCCGAAATTCATCATGGCTCGCCAACCTGCGTGGCATTCGGTGAACTGGTGCGCCATAGTCGTCACCGTCACTCCATCCCAAGTCTCGACCATAGACTCTGCCCCGACTGTCATCACGGCGCGGCCGCCCACCTGGTGAGCCCCACTTACGCTCCCACGCCTCTTGCTCTCTTCGATGTCTTTCACGGGCATGCTCGAAGCGCTTCTCAATGGCATTCGCTCCGAGGCCACCTACGATAGCACCGACAACAGTCGACACGACCCGCGACCTGTCAGTCTCGCTCTTACGGCCCTTATACGAGCCTACAGAAGCGTCCTTCTTGTCTCGCGATCGCGTGGCGGCATCGCTCGCCTCGCGTGCAGCTAGGCCGCCGACAACGGCGCCGAGGAGCCCAACACCCAGACCGGATGAGGTCTGCGTGAAGGTGCTGTCAACTGCACGGCAGGCGCGATCAATAGGGCTTCTGTCGTGGGAATGACGTTCGTGATGGTTGGGACGAGAGGGGGACCGGGTGCGGTAGGCGTTGCTGCGGTCGTGATGAGAAGGTGGGCGTGGGATGACGCCGTGCTGAGGCGGTAGAGAGCGCGGACGACCGTAGTTGTCCGGCGGAACATGGAGATATTCGTGTGTGGGGCCTGAGTTGTATGCGTAGTTGCGATACTGCGGCCTGTCGTCTGGAAGCGGACTGGGCGAGAAGTCACGCCGCGGGGCTCGCCCGCGGTAGAAATCTTCCCCTGCGCCTTGCTCGTAAAACCGTGACATGTCTCGAGAATGTGGGCAGAAGTGCGACGTGTACGAAGGGCTCAGTATGCGCAATCAAACTCGGGATCAAGAGAGGGCTGTGAATAGTTCAACAGGATAATGCAAGTACTATGGGGAAACAGAAATGCGATGCTGGCTGAGGTCAAGGGAAGTGGGTATGACAGGGTCGGAAGTGCATAATGCGAAAGACCTGGTGGTGCGCCAGTCAAAAGACCCGACTCAAGGATCCTCCTTGGGTACCTTAGGTGGTCAGCTATCGTCATGAACGCCGACCGCTAGGTATTTCATGCAGCTGAAACGCAACCCTCTGAGCAGTGGGAGTGGGCATCTACTCGCGTGGTGTGGCATGGTTCCATTGCGACACACACTGAAGGGCGGATGATGTCACTCGTCCGTCCAAATCACAACTGCAGCCCAGCCTGACCCAGCTACCTAGGTAGATACCCTAGGAGTAACTAAGTAGGTCACTTTGGAGTAAGGAGTTCAGCACATTTCGAGTGCCTCTTCTTTGCAGCGAGTTAGTCGAGCCAGCCACATTTCTACTTGCAGGCATCTGCCTGAATGCCATGATTCTATCTGAGCGTTCAAATGTAGTTTGTGTGCGCATATCGCACGGGTAGAGGTGCCTCTTCACCGGCGGCTGGATCTCCAACCATTTCGTTTGCCGTGTCAAACACGATGCTATACGTGCCCCTTGACCAGTAGCCTCCAAATCCGTAGCAGGTTGCGCCGCCCCCCAGGATAACATACTGGTGGTGCCCGATATATACGACAGAGGACCCGATGAAGAAGGGGCGCAGACTACGCTTCTCATCAACGTCGACAAGACAAGCGACTGCATTGAACTTATTCGCTCTCATCTTGAGCACCAGTATATCCTGATCCTGAGACAGCTGAGATGCCGCCGTGACACCCCCGAAGAGGATGAAGCATCCATCAGGCGTGGGAAGGCAGTTGGCTCCAAATCTATGCAGGCTTGAATGATGCTCAGTTAGTGAGGGGTCTGCATCCGCACCGCGTCTAAAAGATATGGAGAGGTCAGACTGTTGACTGTTAGTAAGTCCCGTTGGGCCTATCTGGTCTGCAATATTGCGAGATCGCGTTGACCACACTTACCGAGCCATCCATGTCTAGTTCCCAGAAGAAAGTCGACTGATTGCATGTGCCATCCTCGTGCATACCACCAATCAGGACTCCCGTGTAGGCCGCAGCATCAGTTTCGGGGCACTCAATCAAGGTCGCCCCGAAGACTGCTGGACGTGTCCCGCGAAGCTTACAAGTCCGCCAGCCGATCTTCGGATCGAATACATGGCACGCTGTCGCCACGGTGTGCTTATCCGTCTTTCCACCCACAACAAGAGCCAGCGAAGACGAGCCTAGCCTAACCGCCGAGTGACGAAAAGTTGGCATGGGCAGGTCGTGGGACCTATACCAGCGCCCCGAAGACGTGGCATAGATCCAGGTTTCCTTCGACGGCGCGGTAGGAGAGGCGCGTCCACCAGCGAGCATTACCCCTGCGCTGCCCAGATCTGTAAGAGTGAAGCACACTCTCTGTGAGGGTCCATTGCCTGACGATGTCGCTGGAATGACCTCTTCCGAGATGCAGTGAACGTCAAGGGAGCTGAGACGCGATCCGGGTCCTTGGCCGAGAATATGGCAGAGATGTTCGGGTCTCCCTGGCACGGCAACTTGAACAGCAGCGCCAAAGCGTCGCAGTGACACGCCTTTCGGGGGCTCATCAAGTCGCATGGCTATACGCCACTTTTCAAGCGTGCTCGACTGTTCCCGTGGTGGTCGCGGCGTCGAAGTTTCTCCCGTGGATTGATTGCTTGCCCGGAGTACGAAGTAGTGACTGCCAAAGAGAGCAAACTCCTCCCATTCGTCGAAAGGTTCCATATTATCGAGGTGGTTCCTTTCGGCCGCCGTCATGAAGTAGTCGTCTGCCCAAGCCTCCCACAGAGGCCAGCTCTTCACAGTCGCCCAGCCTCGAGATTCAAAACGCCGGTGTTGGTCCACCAAAGTGGGATACTGCGACACAGACCTCAGTGGTGTATTCATCTTACTGAAGTGTCTCATCATCGTCTTTGCAAAAGGGTGTTCCGGGCCATCAGGGAGCAATTGCTCAAGTAAACAGAACTGGGCTACAGTGGACAGTGAGCAAGCGGTTCAAGCACACGATGGAAGTAGCTGTCTGGGAGTGCTGCAGAGTGACATACCAGAGCCGATCGAGCTGGCCCAGCGGATGACTTCATCGGCTGCTCGGGTCTCTAAGTAGGTGATTGACACCTCAGCCACGAATAGGAAGCTGACATCAGATGTGTCTGCACCTATGACTTTGGACAGGCAGTCTTGAAGGACTGAAGGCTGACGCAAGTCGCAGGCAATGAGGGAATACAGGGCACTCTGGAGCAGAATTGGGGAGCCCGCAGTGCCCGTCACGCAGGAGGACCCCAACAGGCTGGAAAGTTCGGGGTGGGCCAACACTATCTTGCGTTTCCTCTCCATCAAGTCTGGAAAATCGACGTCGACAAACATAGTGTCACCGGCCAGCTCTGGGTAGCGTGCGTGACACTGCCATGGCAACACGTCGCTACATGGATGAACACATCAGTCAGTAGCTGTATGCTGACAAGCCAACATCTGAAGAGGAGGATGGGTCACCTTCCACACCCAAGATTGACGATCACCTTCTTGCGAGACGTGGGCTCGCGTAGAAAGTTGCGAACAATGGTGTCGATGACTTTGATTCTCAGGTGGTAGCCGCGATTGACCAGTGGTGCTCGCCTTTGAAATCGCGGCACGAAGAAACGGTAGAAATGCGGCTCGTCAGGGTAGTAAAGCTTCTCAACACTTCTTTTCGACACGATGGAGCTGCTATTTGTCTACCTGGCCAAAGATGGCTTTGTTAGTGGCTTTCCTCAGCATGAGTCTAAAGGGGAAGGGCAAAATACTCCCATCACCAACTCATCCAAGCTCTGCCCATCTTGCTGACCATTAGCAGCAGGGACGACTGATGGTGGTGTCATTTTGTGGCTGCGGGTCTCGACGCAGTGAAACGTAGCGCGTGTGGATTATTGACAGGCAGATAGCGAATCGTATGCAACGAGAAAGATGAGGTTTTCTTCACCCCGATGCACTCTCAATTTTTTCCCATTGCTGGTGTTTGCGGGTAAGACCCCCCACCATGTGGTAGGTACATTGAGCTTAGTGGGTGGGATTAAAGGGTACTTTCGGTCAGACAGGATCCCTGCCACCTTCAGTGTCTGACCGAGTCGTCGGGCCCACTGCTTCTCCATGCATTGTGTAGTACCGTACTATGGCGAACTGTGCTCGAGCCCAGCTTTCAGCCACCCAAGTAACCCTGCTCGTTCGGGATGCGTATCCACTGCAGCTGCCCAGCTCGTGAGTGATCTATCTACGGACAGCTCCCCCGCAGCGAACGGCAAGACGACGCTTCGACCTGCGCCTCCCAGCCTCGCCTGTTGTCGGAAACACCTCCCCCCCACATTCGTCCTTTCCGTGCTCTTCACGAGTTGACAAGAGATCGCTATTGCAACACGCGATTCCAGCCACGAGCTCGCACTTGTAACTTGTGTCATAGAACCCATCGCATGGTCTAGGCGCCCCGGAGCTTTCTGCCCCTGCTACAGCTCTAACGGCAGCCCATGGCTCGTTGATCGCTGTCTTCGAAGAACGACTGTCTGTCTAGTCTGAGACCTCTCTTGGTGACCTAGATACCGGATACTTTAACAAGTGTCTGCTTGCTACAATTCACCCGGCTTGCGAGAGCTGGGCTCCAAGCACAACGAGGGAGCCTACTTTCTCCACAACCACACAATGACGACCCCGACGCTCAACTTCATAACATTTAACCAGGATCACAGCTGTCTCGCTGTTGGTCAGTAGACCTTGTTCCTCTAGCAGACTCGATGCATTGCTCTGACCTTGACTGACCCGCGGCCTTGCCCCCATCGCATCAGGTACCTCCAAGGGCTTTCGCATATACCACACCGATCCGTTCTCGAAAATCTTCAGCAGCGATGACGGAAACATTGCGATTATTGAAATGCTATTCTCCACGTCTCTGGTCGCCCTGATCCTATCTCCTCGCCACTTGATCATACAGAATACTAAGGCAAGCGGGCACGCGCCCTTCCTCGACCAGCGAACCAAGTACTGACAGGCAGGTCGCTGTAGAGATCCTCCGTCATATGCGAGCTCACGTTCCCATCTGCTGTGCTCGCCGTCCGCCTGAACCGAAAAAGATTGGCCGTTGTCCTAGAGTCCGAAATCTACCTGTACGACATCTCCAACATGAGCCTTCTGTATACGATCCCGACCTCCCCAAACCCAAATGCCATCTGTGCCCTATCGCCGTCCTCAGAGAATTGCTATATCGCATATCCGCTACCGAAGCCCCGAGACGAAAGCGGCGACAGGCGTCCCGCGCATGCGCCTCCCCTGTCAAACTACGTCGCGCCCACTTCCGGCGAGGTCCTCGTCTTTTGATACCGTCGCTCTCAAGGCTGTCAACGTCATTGAGGCACACCGGTCCCCTCTGTGTTGCATTTCACTCAACGCCGAGGGGACGCTCCTGGCCACGGCCAGCGAGACGGGGACCATCATCCGCGTTTTCTCCATCCCGAAGGGTCAGAAGCTCTACCAATTCCGCCGCGGTACATATCCTTCCACCATATATAGCATGTCTTTCAACCTGAGCTCCACCCTGCTCTGCATTTCTTCCACCTCGGACACGGTTCATATTTTCCGCCTGGGCGCCTCTCCAGCGATAGCTACTGCGACAGCCGAAACACCATCTTCGCCTCGACAGGACCGCTGGTCAAGGGCTCGCAGCCACGACAGCACCAACGAGTCTCCGGTCGGAAGTGCAGCTAATTCTCCACGGAGTGAAGTGGCTGATGGCGCGAGTTCGAGTAATGGTGGCAACGACCATGCCGCTCAGGCCCATAGAAGGCAGAGTGGGTCGTTCAGCAGCATGCTGCGTCGTTCTTCTCAGATAATGGGCCGAAGTGTGGCCGGCGTTGTAGGGTCCTACTTGCCGCAGACAGTTACAGAGATGTGGGAGCCAACAAGGGACTTCGCTTACATCAAGATTCCCAAGTCATCTCAACCGGGGCCGATCACTTCGCGAGGTCTGAACAATAGTGGAGGGGGATCGTCCACTCCGTCCACTGGACCGCTGAGAAGTGTTGTCGCCATGAGCAGTAACAGCCCTCAGGTGATGGTAGTCACGAGCGACGGCGGTTTCTACGTCTTCAACATTGACATGGAGCAAGGCGGCGAAGGCTACCTGCTCAAGCAATTCTCGTACGTTGCCCGAGACACCTGACATGATCTAGCGAACGTCGAACTCATCATCTTTAGTGTTCTTGACAGCGATGATAAACTGGACGTTTCTGCATACGGGGCTTGAGGCGCGATGCATGGTTCGGTGTTATCTTGTCCTCGACCTGCCAGAGCCCCAGCCAACGATTGTCGTCGACTCAGGGCCCTCTCAGGCCCCCGATATAATCGAAAACATCCGCTTTACGCTAATCATCTTGGTAATGTCATCCGGGATCAGATTTATGGCTACTGGACCCCTGAGCCTTTGAATTTTGCCTTCTTCCATCGCATCAAGGGTGCAATCCAAATAAGCATCCTATTGGTAAAGCAGTGCTTTAAATAATGATTCTTACTTGTGTGCAGTGCGGTCGCTGCCATACGCCTGCCCTCCTTGGTTACATGTTCCCCTAACTCGTTAGAAAGTTTGAAAGTGCGTGCGAGAACACCAACAAGCCTGATGCTTTCCCCAAAAGGCCTCGGAGGCATCAACGGAGTATTCCCTTGCTAACATATAATGAAATGAACCCCCGAAAGAACTTCCGTGTAATATCCTATCATCCTAAAACGAGACGCCCGAAGCCTCGGCGTGCTGTGAATACCCGTGATCTCCATACAAGTTTGTTTGTGTAGGTGTGCTTTACCCAGTATTAGTGGCGCATTCCCACTGACCTAACAGCGCGTGCGGAATACGGCCAATCCGTAGAACATCGAAAAATAGCACAGAATAGTCAACGCCATGAAGTATTCGTGGTGGTCGTCATCCCCCCCGGGAAACCACATCCTCGAGCTCATAATTCGTCACGTCGTTCATCTTCGGAGCAGTGTCCGGATATGATACTGCTTGTGTGCCTGTATGGTCGGATGATCACCTCGCATACGGCCTGTTCATCGAGGCGATTTCTCGAGTGATATCGGCCCACTCGAGCTCCCTCTTCAACGCCCCAGGACCTCCCCTTCTGACTTGTAAGATCTCTTCCCATTTCAGAAGCTCGTATGCAAATCGAAGGTGAGGTTGGATAATGACGTTCAGTCTACGAGCTCGCACGTAGCAGTAGGCTCGAGGGAAGGAGTAGTTGAGTGACTTCATCACCTCGGCAATGCAAATGGTGGCACTGCGCGATACGCCAACGCGGCAATGAACAAGTGTCGCCGTACCATTGCATCGACCACGTTCTGGTTCACAGTCAGATCAGGTTTGTAGCGAGAGGGGGGGATGCGTCGAACGGGGTGGATTTACCAATAAAGTCCAAGCACCTTTCAAACTGATCCATCAAGGGATCAATGCCGTTGTCCTGGACGCCCTGGACGAGGCACACATTATCGGACCCCCACTGCTCAAGTTCTCCATCCCTCCACATGGACATCTCTCCGACACTGAGGATTTGGCCGATGCCTAGGGACCTCAGTAACTCGGGATTGTTGGCATGTCCAAGGTTGCCGAGGTACATGTAATCAAGTACGCGGCTGGGAAGCGAGCCGTCCATGCTGTGCATCCAAGTAGGGTCTTTGATCAAATCCGTGATGCTAGAGAGTCCCTTATCTGCATGGACGGGTGATTCATGTAGTAGTCGTGGCTCAATGCACGTCAGCAGAGCTACATCAGTAGGGTAAGCAAAGAAATTGCGCTTCTTTTCCGTGTGTAGATGCAGCCAGGAATCAGCAACCCCGCGTCCCGTGCTGTAGCTCAGATACGCAATGCTTAACATGGTGGACTCGGTATAACCGTCCGCGCAGTGGATAAGTATCTTTCTCGGCCTCGCCTGGATATCAACATTCTCATTTTTGGGGGACGGCTCGTCGGCCGGGAACGTGCCATGGGCCAAATGGTAAATCCACTTGCATGTTTCTAGGATGCCGTCGGCCTCGACTTGGGACCAGGTCGGCGGAAGAATACTGCCGGATGAGGGGAAGTCGATATATGGCTGCTGGTTGTCCTTTTCTTGCCCTCGAGCAATGCTCTTGAGGGCCGCCGGGTTAATCCGTCCCACGTCGCTGCATTCTATGAGGACGTCGTACTCGGCTTCATCCTCGGTGGGGTGATCGGGTGTAGAGCCTACCCAAACATTATGGGAAATTTCGGAAGCCAGAGTCATAGCGTACATTTCCTTCCTCTCCTGGTGAAAGAAGTCGAGAACGTTACCGGTCAGTTGCCCGGTGGAGTCGATGGCAACAACCTCGGAATGGTTTGCCTCAAAGGTTTCAAAAGGGCCTACACAAATGAATGTGTTATACACAGGCAAAGGTTGGCCTTGGGCCTCGTGCTTGTCACGCCAGCGGCGCTGGGCCGTAACGACATCCCACGCCACTTTCCGTACGATTACGGCATCTTCGCCATAGACAACCACATCGGAAACGCCGGCTATCTTGGCAGCCTGTATCTGAAAGTTCCGAACGCAGAATCCGTCTTTTGGATCGATGTCTATGAGCCCAGGTGTTGATTGTGTGTCAAGAAACTCTTGAGGAGCGATGGAACCTTTCAATCGAGAAACCGAAAGGTCGCCATCCGCCTTGACGAGAACCAATCCTCTGATGCAAGTAGGGGTTCTTCTAAGCATTCGGCGGCGAGCGATGAAGAAAGCTTGCTGGATATGGTTGTGTGGATGGAGGCCGTGGAACCAGGGGAACACTCGAGACGTGTCTGGCAAAGGTTGTCGAGAGGCGAAATCAATCGCTGCAGCCAGATCCTGAGGATGCAATTGATACAGCTTCAGAGGACCTGACTCAATACAAGCGAAGTCGTTGGGCGGGAAGAGCCATGAGGCTGGCTGGACGTCTTCGTCGTCAGGATCGTTTGGTGGTGACGGTGGTGGGGTACTAAGGTCTCCGCTTGGTGCGGGGCCTGGAGGACAGACTGGGATGTGCTTGTTTGGTATTGATGCCTGCTGCTGCACACTGATGGTGTCGAGGGAAATCGCTGAGATGGGGCTGATAGCGGACGACGGTCGATGAGGAGGCAGTGGTCGGGAAAGGGCAATGGTGGCCATGATAATTGTTTCGTATACGTGCTAAGCCTACCAACTCCGGATGTCGACGGCTTCGTGCTTGTTGCGCTTCGTCAGTAGCCACAGGTACCCTGAGAATATCGATTCGTCAGTGGGTTTCCTTGCCTCGGCAGTGCTGCAGAATCGCACGATGCCTTACCATGGAGTGGACGCGCTCAGGTGACGGAACTCGCTGGCTTGACGTCGGGAGCAAGCGTACACCAAAGGAACAAGTACCGCGAACGAACAATGGACAATACTGGAGCAACGGAATTGAGAGGTCTTGTCACCTAATGCCAATGGTTGAAAACTGAGTGTACAATGGCGGAAGATGAGAAAAGGGAAGAAGGATGGTGTCGAGGTTGGAATGGGATGTGATGAGCGTGAACTCAAAGGGAATGATGTGGGAGGTGAGGGGGGTTGCCCAGCACGGCCCATGCTCAGTAACTCGTCCAGTGACATCGGTTTTGCGACTGGAGGGTGACACCTGACGTTGGGTGATTGACATACAATGGGGGCCCGGCAGTAGAGAACCCCCTTCGAGTGCTGCCTCCCCCCCCCCCTCCAGTCCAGAGCGCTCCATGTCGCAAGATCAGGACATGATAGCGATGTGCCACAATACAACAACACGCCGTTCTGAGTGGTTGGGCTTGGATTCCCGCAGCAAACTAGGTGGTTGAGTATCAGCAGCTAGGAAGCTCAAAGATAAAGATTGGCTGGGTGGCTGTGCACGGAGCTCCACGAGTGCATTTTTAGCGCCTTGAGTCGTGCACGGATCAAGCGGGGTAGGGTCGCGCTTGGATACCAAGCGCTCCACCCCAGACCGACCCTTGGTCGCGATAAGCGGTGGACCGCATGACATGGGAGCGTTGGATGTTGTTTGCTTGCTGAAACAAACATGGGTCGTCTCTAGTGCTATCGCTTGACGTCTGTGACTGAGTGACCCCGAAAGAATGGCAACTTCATGTATAATTCAAACCCATCGACACAGTTAGGCCAGCATTTGCACTGCCTGCAGGTGCTTTACATCGCTATCACGCATGACTTGGACCTGTCATGAACTCGATTAGGTAGCCCCAGCCTTGATCCTACAGCTTCGGGAGGCTCTAGCCCGTTGTTGCCACCAGGCGCTTCGTAGCTTTCTGCGCCCTCATGGCAGGAATGGTGTTGTTTCTTCCGGGCTTCCTACCCACCTCGACGCAGAGCATACGTATGAAATCTCGGCTGAGCCAGTAGCTCGAATGCGCGCTCAACATGTTCAGATATTGAATCTCAAGCGGACCACCACCCGAGCGTAGAAAGAAGTCAACCTGGCCGTTGTCGTTGAGCAGATACGCCTTTCTTTCGGCAATCTCCTCCCGCGAAAAGTCATGCACCTCCAGCTCTAATTGGGAGGGCAGCCGCGCCATGGAAGGTTTGGGAGCTTCGACACAGGCAGCATCTGCAGCCGGAGCTGGGGCCGTTCCCGGGATGATGCTGCGCATGGTGTCTCCAACGTACTTGAGTAGAGAGGTCGCGGTGCTGGGCACATATGCAGTCTTCAGGCTCGCCGCGTAAACTGGATCGATTGTGCCGTTGAGCAAGTAGGCTATTGGGTCTTCTCTGGCCAGAATGTTGTAGACATTGTCGACGGCCATACAACCAAAAGAACCGGCCTCACTGGTTACATCTGGATCGTCCACGTCACTAGGCTCGGCCTCTGGCTTCGGCCTGCCGCGTCGAGGAACGAGCATCCCTCTTTCCAGCAGCATGAAGAACCCCGCAGGGCTACCGGCCAGAAAGAGATTGACAGTGTCAAATTCAAATACGTCAGCTCTGGGTGAGGGCAAGGACAGATCCAGCGAAGGCACTCGGTTCGGTTGCCTCGACAGAATATCAACAGCCATCGCACTGCCAAGGGAGTGGCCAATGAGATGGACGCGTCCTTTGTCGTGAAATCCCGGATTGTTACGGCACCACAAACGGTATACCCTGTTGGCTTCTTTGACTAAAGCCTCAATCATTTGGCCCTTGTGATGAGACATGTAGAATGGAATGTCGAACATAATGTCGGATATCATGCTTCGTACTGCCGGGATTGTTTTAGGTTCAATATCTTTGAGCCCAAAGCGGTCAAGGCCCCTTGCAGCCTCTTCTTCGCCGTCCTGCGCAGGCCCCCCATTTTCTAATGTCAGAGTGTGGCGCCAGTTGACGGGAAGAACCATGATACCATTTTGGGCTTCTCGAAGGCTGCCATTCAGAGCTGGGTTGTTCAGCTCCATGTTGACCTCTTTGCGGAAAGCATTGATAGCATGTGTGAAGTGAAAGCTCTCGACTCGTTCAGCGAACTTCTGTCCGATGCCGTGGCAGACAAGTATCAAGTCCGTGACCTGACCACGGTCTGCCTGTACTTTGCAGGCAGGACAAATCTCGATTCTTGTGCCCGTGGAAGAGGAGGGGGTAGCGTCAGTACCAGCGCTGATCTCTGCGTGCTTCTTATTCTGGATCCTGTCCCATGCATCCTGGTCAAAGCCACGCACTACGGGAATGCCGATGGTTGTCCCTCTCATGATCTTGGCAACAGGCCTTCTCCCATAATAAGCTGAGGGTTTGAGACTTGGCTTGAGAAGAAATGCGTTCGAGGCATCCTTATAAATGACATGATAGCTCGCAAAGCTTTTCGATGGTTGCTCAGATTTTTTTACGCTTGGTTCGGGGGCGATAGACCCTTGCGCTGCCGCCTGTCCTCTGAAACAATGAGCAGAGCAAAAGGGGTCTGTCGATATGACAGGCTCGTCTCCGGCGAGATCATTGTCGGAACGTTGCCTGTCATTGGGCCACAACGGGTGCGACACTTTTTCTTCGCCAAGCGGCCCAACATCGATGGCACAGCGAAGCTCGTCGCTCCACGTCTCTGTATACGGCCTCAGCTCTCTGTAGCCAGCCTCTACTTGATTGGCCACGGTAGGAGGCAAAGGATTCATTGTGTCTCTTCGATGTGCGTTAGATGATGTGTTATGTCAGGTCATACGCACGGCTTTGAGCCTATCGCGAAACGTCATGGGGTTTGCAAACAGACCTGTAAAACCACGTTCCCCGAAGAACAATAGCAATGTCATTGACGGGGGACCAGTAGATTGGTTTCATTTGAAGAGATGGCAGGGATACTTTGTGTAAACGCGAGATACCGACGGGTACCTCCAACGCGCGTCTACTAACTTGCGGATCAGCATCGTCAATGTCCAGAATATGAGGATCCTCCAATTTTTCACGAGTTTTCTTGGCGCCGCGCTCTGGGCCAGAAACTAGAGCATCTCTGGTAACGGCGCCTTCATTCTGATCTTCTCGTCCCCCAAACACACTGGCCATAGACTCAGGAGTAGACCCATAGCTCTCGACACGAGCAAACGGTGTTCCAGATATGCCATCGTCCATGGCAGCTCGGGAAACAACAGCGTCGGCGAGCGGTTGGAGGCGTTGATTTTCCTGATCTGCACGTAAGCTTGTTTTGAAACGCAGAAGACCGCCCTTTGTGAGTACCTCGCCAACTGGGGGGTTGCTGGGCGACAAGCGGGCAGATCGTGTCGAGTCGGCTCGTTTCCGAGATGCTGCTGATATCGGCTGCTGCTTGTCTGTGCTGCCGTCGCCGGCCTCTAGGTCTAACAACATGCGTTTCAGTTCCAGCATAACCTTTTGAATCACCTTGTCCGCAATCAGGGACGATTGACGCAGTCTGACAAGAGCGCAGTAGGTATTTTGGAGATCGGTGGACACGTCGAGGTACAGCTCCGAACAGCAGAGAGAGGCTGCAGTTGTGGACTCGGCCATTGGCTGTGCTGTCAATATTGACTGGCTCGTATCGCTGCCGACATGTTTTTTATGATGCTTGCGCGCCAAACGCTGGACGAGTGATGCTAATTTTCTGTCGTTCGCCTTCTCGAGGACAGGACCTAGGGAAGTGCTATTCCTTGCCTTGCGGTGCGCCGCATCATCTTGAGCGGAAGCTAGGGATAGCCATGCCTTTTCGAGTGCAATGTTATCGCCTTGGGTGAACGGTCGCAATCGACTTTTGGCAGACTTCGCGTCGGAAGCATAGGCAAGAATGCCAGGGGAGAGGGGATCGTCGATCGGTATCAACGACGTATAGAAATACTGCGCGTTGACCCGAGGTGTATCATCGGAGGCGTTGTCTGACGACTCATAGGTTATCGGAGCCAGCCTGCAATTTTGCTGGTACGTGTGTCCCACAGCTGACATGGTGTCGAGGGGTGTGATCATCCGCTCGAGCAAGACCGCTCGGGCGCACGAGTACTATGAGTTTGTGGTCAGCTTGAGTTTGCGCGATATGTAGTTCCTTGTAAGAGTCTAGCATCACTCGTGACGTTGGTTGAAGTGGCGAGTATTCTCGTGGAAGGTCTTGCTGGCACCCATGCGCGGCCTGGTAACACGAGGAATGAATGACGCAGAGGGAGGTTGCAAATTCAGAACACAACGTGTTTGGCCTATGAGGAGTCGGGCACGTTGGTTACAGGCAACGGGAAATGAAGAAATTCAAAACAGATTTCAGCTTGACATGGAATGTTGGACATGCCATTCATGAGGTAGGTACCTACCTACTAGGTAGGCGAGGTAGGATAATTAAGAATGACGTCTTGTGAGAGCTTTGACCAGGGTGAGGCAGCAAGGTACGTAGGCATCAGTGGACCTTCCCTAGCCCGGGCACCTAGGTATTGGGTGCATGTGATTGTCGCCGAGGCTTCAAGACAACAAACAATCATCTGCTTCCATTAAATTTCTTTCCATTTGAATACAGGATCATCAGTTGAAACTGACAATGACTACATCACAATAGGCTGGCTTCTACGCAGAGTCCAAAATAGATGGAATGCAGGGCTTTTCGCGTGAGGCAACAGCATATCGTATCTAGAATCCGTCTATCTCCATGAGGTCCTGGTCCAGGTCATCGTCCATACCATAGTCGTCGCCGCCAAATTCTTGTGTCTGTTCATTTTTGTTCGCCGCGTCCTCAAGGTCCCTGATTCGATCCATTTCAGTCTTCTCCTTGTGTCTCATCAGGTCTTCGTAGCTCCAAGTGCTGACGCCTTCTTGGTCCTTGGCTCGGAACGGTTGCGCCATCTGCTTGAGAAAGCGCCGTGCGCTACTAACGGCCATGTCTGTGCTGAGATTTGTGTCTGCATCAAGCAATCCCTGATTGATCCATTTGGGTAGCTGAACGCGCTTCTTCTGGAACCGACGATCAGCAAGGACCATGACGCCGTAATCATCCTTCCCGCGGAGAACTCGGCCCAAACATTGGGCGGCGTGACGCATGGCATCGAATGAGAGGAAATCATTCTCGCGGATGCGGTATGTTTCTCGCAAGAACTCGAGTCTTGCTTTGAGGATTCGGGACTCGGTATATTGGAATGGAACACCAATGTTTAACACGGCCCGGCCGTATTGATGATCGAAGTCTATACCTTCAGACACCTTGCCTCGGGCGACGCAAAGAAGTACAGCGCCTCGGCCGTTGCAGCAGGCGGTTCTATAGGTTTCCAGCGCCAGCGAGGTCTCTTGTGCGTCAGGCGTCTCGACGAGGATTAATTTGTACTTCCAGACCTCGTCCAGAATACCCATGCCCTGCCACATGCTTATGATGGATTCCATGTACAAGTAGGAGGGGAAGAAAACAACCATGCCATCCGGTGTGATTTTGGCGAATTCTGTCAGGAGGCTGCCGTAGTTGCGGACCACGCTCGGCTCATTTCTGACTTGAAAGCTGGTTGAGACAGAAGCTTGATCGCTACCTCTTGTGACAATCATCGGCAGGAAGGATCGCCTGGCTAGGGTCATACTGTAAGACTCCTGAACAACAGTCGAGAAGCCCAGCATTTTGGGGTACATTTCCAATGGAGAAATGGTACCGGAAGTGATGATGACGGAAGAGAATCTGTCAAACACGGGTTTGATAGCGATAGCTGCATCGAGGCAGGTGAAGTGTAGCACGGGATTCGGCACCTCGGCTGCTTCTGACTCAAATGGCTCTAGAATTAGAAGAAAGCCTTTTTCATAGGTGGCAACCAATGTAGCAAAAGTTGCAACTTCTTGGAGTGGCTGATAATCTTCAATGTTGGTGAGTTCGAGTGTTCTGACCAAAGACGTGAGACGCTCGGCACAGAACTTCAGTGGCTTTTTCTCAATAAAGGTGAATTCTTTGAGGTGGGCAAGGAAGGACGGGGGTGTTTCGGAGATGGTGTTCCTGACTTTCATGCGAGTCTCGTTCCAGGGTTAGCAGCCTATACGAGAAAACCTGTACTGACGTACTCCAGCTCTGGCTTACTTTCAGATACTCAATGAACCTCTTCAAGAAGGCAACAAAGTGTTCCGCCCTACGAATATTTCCAGGGACAGCTTCGTTGAGTAGGTCGTCTGGTAGTGCTTTTCCATCTGTCAACCGTGCTGTCGCGCCCAAAGGAGGCGGGTGCAATTACCTGGGTTGGACATGAATGCGTCCTCTTGGCGAGCCTCTCCTGCATCACGCAGGCCTTCTACAAGCTTTAGGTATTCGTTCTGAAGCTGCTCTTGATCAGTTTGCTTCATCTCCGCAATCTTACGATCCAGGTTTTGCGCTCCCCTCGCCGCCTTGCGCAGAGAATCCTCGGTGATGTCTGTGCTCAGTGACTCGATGCACACATTGTCGATGTTATGCGCTTCATCGAAAACTACGATGCAATCTTTGGACAGCTCTCGCGAGACTCTCTCGGCAATCTTGGGGTCGAGAAGGTAATGATAGGAATAGATGATGACGTTGCAGTATTGCATCTGGGATGATTCAGTCTCTGACGATATCCAGTGCCAAACAAAGATACAGGTAAACGTTACCATGCGCCTGGAGGTGAAATATGGGCACTGTTTGTGTTGTTCACCGTAGCGAAGGAGACCGTCGAAGGTCCAGACGCCGTTCGGGATGAGATTGTGGGGCTCAAGGAGATCGAGATTCTGGAGCAAAGGTTGGTGATTGGGAACCTGGAGTTGTAAAGATATGTTCGTGTACTCACGTCGTGATACACGCACACGTCAACGTTTTCGCCTTTGTCCTTCTTCTCCTTCACGAAACCAGCAGTGAGGCTACGACAACGCGCATCAACAACCGAACCACTTTTCTCCCGCTTCACGGACGGATGCAGGCATAAGTTTTTTCTACTTGTCAAGCCGAGTCCACGGAACTCTTCCTCTTGTCCGAGCTGCTCAGTCCGGTACTTCATGAGTTCCCTTAACTCGGCGAGAGCCTTTTCGATTTCTGACATGGTACCTGTCGAAAGTGGTCAGACGGTGTCGGAGTACAATGATAGGGCAAGCGAAAGTAGGTCAGACGCACGAGAGCAGTATATCAGCTTCCGGTGCTCAGGATAATGCTGCTGGTATGCGACGATGAGTGAGAGCAAGGAGACCGTCTTGCCGGTTCCTGAAGGCATCTCAAGAACACAGTGGCCCCCCGCATCTAAGGTCTCTAGGGCGATATCAGCATAATGTCTTGGTGAGGTTTCTGCGTGGAAGACCGACTCTTGAGATCGCACATGTAGCTTGATAAGGTGTGAGCATGGAGGAACATATTATGTGGTGAACTGAAGGAGGCTTACGCATATTGCTCGGGATAGATCCTCGGATACGGGAACAGGACCGGGAGGTCGCTTCAGCGGCCCTCAATGTCAGCAAGTCACATCGAGTAATGTTATGAAACAATGTGAAAAGGTACAATATACTCGATAAAAAACTTCATGATGATCGATCGGAGAAGCGTCTGTGGCCAGCGTGAAACAGTTATTCCCTTATGAAGTAGTTACTGAAGTTCCTGCCCCCTGGCATGTGAGTGTTGGGTAGGTATCGCCCAATCCACAACCTCGCTCATGCCGTCACAGCCGAACACAATGGCAAGAGAGCCCTCGACTGTGATACCGGGAACTGCAAACGAAAGCCGTCGTAATTTTTGACAGTTGCTAGGTCATTCAAGAAATCGAATGCGAAATACTGCAGAGGGATCGGGATTGCGTTCGTCAGTCTAGGATCTGGGGTTAATTGAGGCAGACATCCAAAGGACCAAAGGAGACGTGAAGTGGTGATGAAGGTGTGGGTCCCGAGCTGCCAAACTTGCACGTCATCACGTGACCGAACGGGTCAGTGGGAGCGTCCTGCCAACGTAGAAGCCACTGAGAGTAAAGTGAACAGCAAGTGAGCCACCGAAGCAGCACGTGACATGTGGTGTGAAAGTGACTGGGGCCAGCCCCTGGGGTGCTGCCAATTGGGAAGAGGGTGGAGAGGAGGAGGGCCTCATTCCCTCACACGTGAGGTGGCAGTGTAATGCTGTGCGCTGCACATAGAAAGTGGCGGCCTTGGTTTGCGTCCCTCCTGGTGCTGGACGCTTTGCAAGGTCCCTCTGAACTCCACTCTAAACTGTGCACGATGACTGAAGGAGTTTCGGGGTGTCCCGATGGGCCACGGTGAAGGCTGACAGAGACAAGGGCACCCCGGACCAAAATTCTCTCGTCCGATCCGCCAGTTATCTGTTGTACTCGGATGCCAGCGGTCCCAGGAGCGGACAGAGTACATGGCCCGCGGAATACAGACATGGTGTCCCGCAAGAGGTATTGGCTAAGTAGCCCAGCATAGCTGGTCTGCGGATTTTATGGCCATCGAATACCAGTCGGATACAGAGCCACCCTGAAGTCCATGTATTCGCTACTCGACGTGGGTAAAATCCCACGCTACAAAAGTACCAACGGCCCTACTACGGCGCGCCTCGATCTATACTAGCCTTCGCCCGACAATGCGACGACCTCCCCTTTCTAGTCAGCCAGTCAGTACCAGGCAAAGCCTACGCGAGATGACTTGATGGAGGCAACAAACGCAGCCAACACAGGCCTACGTCTCTTCCCGTCGTCATAATCGGCATCACCAGACTTGTCAGTACCCAGTCAGGCAACAGGCCTGGCTCGAACCAGTCTTTCTACAGCCGACACAGTCGCGGGTTCTAAGCCCGCACAACCGCACATCCGGCGGCATTGGCAGAGCAAAGTTGTCATCTCGCTTGACACTGCTCTGGCCCCCAACAGCCATCCAACCGCCCTCGCCATGACCTTGGTCTCCGCTGCGTAAGCGATGTGCATGGAGCCTGCGGGGGGGCTGGGCCTGTATTTACCTTCTAACCACGACCAACGGCCGTTGCTGAATGGCGGACTCTCTGGCATCTCTGGTTCGCCCTCTTTTCGCGCTCTGTGCCATTAGTGCCAGAACCATGCATTGTACATTGATATCGATTTATTCGGTTATTCAGCGCGGGGAGACACCGCAGACCGCTCCATTCGCAAGTGCCTGGCTTTCTGACAGATGTCGGCGACATGAAATGCGGCCCCAGCCAGCCAGGCCATCCAGACGCCATGCTTCTTTCTTGGAGCCACTTTACCTTCCGTGACGGCACGATGGAACATACCCATCCAGCCCTATCCGATGAGCAAGCAGGGATAGATATCTTGTGTTGCTTTGATCACTACGTCCCCCAATTTATCCTCGAACCCGCTCAGCATCACCCCTCACCCCTTGGTCCACAATTAGCACTGCATCTCTAGGGTGCTTTTTGTTGTCTTCCGCCGCCCGGGTGGGACCACACTCGGGTCGCGGTTGGCACTTGGTTGTATATCCCGGTCGACCCTTCCTTCCGTACGTATGGTCTGGCCTGCTCCAGACTCGGTCAGATCAGGTCTGTCACTTGGTGCGCGCCATCATGCATGCTACAGGGAAAGCTTGGAATCGAAAGTTGCCATCATCAAGAGACTTGCACTGGTACTCGGCTGGCCTTTCGAGAAAGTCTGACGGCCTGGAATTGGGGTTGAATGATCTGGCACCCGTGACGAACGCGTGGAGAGTCAACTGCTCCTCAAACGACCTGCCCGTAATCGTGCAGGTGCTCGAATGAGGTGGTTCACTGCCCTCGATTTCCCTGTCTTCCAACCCCTGTCCGTCCGTTGGTCTTCGCAGCTTCATGCCGTATCGAGTCACCCTAAGCTGCCCAGCCTGGCATCACACCAACTTCTTCACCCCGTTCTCTCGCATCCCCGCGGCCCCCAGCCCTGTCGGTTGCATCCTTCCATGCGCCTCCCATCATGTTTCCCGCTACCCTACGTTGTTACCGTGCGATAAAAGTACCTTCCATGGCCCATCTCCCCGGGGAAGCGGCTCCTACTTCAGCTTGTCTTACTCGACCACTGTCAAGGACCCGCGACAGCGCGCAAGTCTTCCGTCAAGGGCTCACGATAACCTCACATTGTCTGAGCGGCTTGCCTGAAGAGCTTCTCATGGACCTGGCGACCTCCTGAGATCCTTTCAGCGCCCAACCTCAATTCCGTCTTGCGACATGGATCTCACACCCCCCTCCCTTACGAGGTCTCCAGTCTCTCCTCCCAATACGTACTGCGCTTCAGAGAGCTCCTCCCTGGACTACCCGTCGCCGGGCTTCTTGAGCCAACGGTACAGAATCGCTGCTGGATATGGCGCCCCTGCCGCATGCTCCACGGCCGTGCCGCTCGACACGGACAACACCCTGCCACGCTTGGCGTGCAGAGCCTCGTCCGAATGGTCATCGTCAAGCATTGCAACTCCTGTCCTGGCCTCTTCTGCCTCTACCATCCCAAATGTAGTATCTCTCGACTACGACCCATTCGGCAGCTACGACGCCCATATACATACCTCGTACGGGCACGAGTCTTACCCAGCACCCCCCAGTGCTCGTGAGTCGGGCTCGGCACATGCTGTACATTCCCCCCCTTCCAGTATGGTTCATTCGCCACCACTCGCATCTTCAAGGGTTGCATTACCGTTTCCGCACGGCGGTGGCCACACATCAAGTGCTGCCTCAGGGCAGAGAATCAAACTAGAGACGTATAACGATTTTGGCTCCGGAGGTATCGATCTATCCGGCTACACCTCGCCGCGGGCGTGCACTGCAACTTACGGATCAGAAGACACGACGCCCTATTCCGGCTCGGCTCCGGCCTATTTCTCCAGTGGACACGTGCCTCACTGGGCTAGGTCAGACATAGACGTGGAATCAACTAGCTACGACGGTGGCCTGGGACATGTGGGCGGTCTAGAACAGGTTTCGGCGCAACAGCAACAGCAACAGCAAGCAAGGCAAAACCGGCCGCGCCGAGCACCTCGGCGACTGACAACACGCGAGGAGGCCAACTTCCAGTGTGAAGTCAAGGGCTGCGGAAAGCTCTTCAGCCGAAGTTACAATTTCAAGGCTCACATGGAAACCCACGACGATAAGCGAGAGTACCCTTTTCCTTGTCAGATCGGTGACTGCAACAAGAGATTCGTGCGGAAAACCGATCTTCAGAGGCACCACCAGAGCGTGCACACCAAGGAACGCAATCACAAGTGTGACTATTGCAGCCGTCTCTTTGCCAGGAAGGACACGCTTCGCAGGTATGTCGGATGAGCTGTCGATATGCCCTAGAGGCAACAGACTTTTCGTAGCCAGACTTGCTGACATGTTGCCACGACAGACACATGGAAGATGGGTGCTCTCGAAGATTTGACCTGGGTACACTTGACCTACGCTCCGAAGGCTACAATTCCTCGAGCAGCAGCCGGCGACAGTTGCCCGGAACATCGACAGGAGCGGCGGAATTCGGCGTGCCCTCTCATGGGACACTGCCCCCTCTCCTCGTAGGGCCAGCAGGTGGTGGCGAGGCTACTCCGGCACAGTCAAACCTGGACACAAGACATGTGGGCCCGGCCAGCGACGCGGGATCTCGACGGCGCATGTAGAGAACGGATACCACTGTCCCCGGTGGAGCACCGTCCGGATGAGCCAACGGTTTAATGGGGAAGGAAGAGCAGACGCCACTGCAACAGACGGAGGGCGTAGGAAGCTAATATGTGGGAAAGCACCGAAAGGGCATCTGCGAAGTACCATCTTGATACCCATACGACACACACGACACAAGTGGATGAACGGCACTGTAGCCTTTGATGAAGTGGGATTGAAGGAGAAGCAAGATGAATACTGTCTCGCGAGAGAAAATAATGAAGAAACCCATTGGCATATTGTCCCTGCTTATCACATGTTTGATTTCGCTGTCAGAACTTGTGTGACAAGACGATTTTAATTTGGCGCCATCACCAGTGTGACACCGTCGACGAACCAGCTCAGGGTCGCGTTGTCTGGAAAGGCTAAATGAGCTCACCTGGAGAGGACCCGCCAGGCAATCGGAAATCGGACGATGATTTCTTCTCGCAGAGGAGCCATGGGGCCAGCTGCAACAGCGATGGAGGGCAGATTAACCCCACCAGTAGGATAAAGCAGCCGGCGACATGGAAGCCAACGAGCTGGGCATGTCAATTGAAGGGGGGGGGGCCCATCCGGGCAGCTGCTCAGCCACCCACAGCACCTCACCTCACCACCCTCCTCGTCGAC